CTTTTGGGACGGTTCCAAAGACAACGTCGGCAAAGCTGAACCGTTTTGGGAGCTCACAGACAAGTGATACCGGGTATCACCTGCCCCTGAGCTAATTAAAACACCAAAATCGACGAATTTGTGAGACCAAATCTTGGCCTTAACTTTTGCGCTCACATTCGCATCAATGGGTACATTGATGGAATTAAATTTAGGCAGACCCGGCTCTACAGGCGGTGAGACTTGGATAAAACTAGTCTCACCTGAAAGATTATTTAAGGCAGATGCTACCGGCCCCTGCATAGTAGCGTCTGCAAAACTAGCTATACCAGACACTACCATAGGCAATTCCCTCGTTTCCACAGCTGAAGATGGCGGCGGAAGAGTAGTGGTGCAGGTTCCATTGAGTGACGCTAGCACAGCTTGGGAGACGGCGGAGACGATCCGTTGAACCGTTTCATTAGGAACAGTCGTCGCTGGCGATGCTGCATCAGGTGCTGACGTTGTGGCCACGGAGGAAGACGCCTCACAACTAACTCCACTTGACTCTGGTTGCTGCATAGTGGTGGCACTGGCGGTTGCTGTTCTTCTCCGAGAGGATGGACGACGTGGTGCTGCTGGTTGTGCACGACGTTGAAGTCTTGTGCTAGGTCGAGTAGCAGGCATTCTGAAAGAAAAAACTAAAGACCGAAGACTTTGCTTAACGGGGGCCACATCAGGCCCTGGAATATTAGACAAGGGGAATTTTGGAAAATAACAGACGTCATACTGCACAACCATTTACATATTCATGCAACGGTGACAAATAAAACAACATATGAGCAGCAGAATAATCATGGCATACAGCGAAGGTAGCCGCAATTGATTATCCTTTAACGCCGCAAAAAATAATATACAAGGGCAATCTGAAAACAACATGCCGCACCGTCCCACAATATATTGACAACAACTGTGGGCATCTGAAAACAATAATTGCTCTATCCCACTTAGACATGCATTCTTTCCTTGACACAGGATTGGCAAGTCATATATACCTATAACTATAGAAAAGACATCTTATATACAACACAAGGAAACTACAAGAACACTCCACACACATGAAACAAAACAGATACATAAACTATTAAAGAAGCTGCGAATTGTACGTATATATAACCAGCGCAAATCATGAATATGTCCTGTGTAGAAAAAACCCAATGTTGAAGTCTCAACGTGGGCATCTGAAAACAATCATGTTGCTCTAGCCCATATAACATAAACATATAGTAGTGGTACATAAACGGCAACCACATACATAGGGGTAAAATATAAAAGAGTATATAATATAGTGCACCATAATTATCAAACAATTATGCAATAATAATGTCTGTACCAACGGCGTAAAATGAACACATATTGGAGCTAAGGACTATAACATGGTGAGAGCTTTCAAGATGGCCCCACGATAGCTACGGTATAAACAGTACTGTCCCTGTGCATTACAGTGCACACCATCTGAGGACAACAAGAGACGATCAGGGTGAGAAAACTCCCTATGTTCCCACACAAAAATGCCTTGTTCCTCAGCAAGGACAACAGACAGGTACTGGCGTAAAAGAGCGGCTTTGGTATTAAACGCATTATCAGGTGCCTGAGTGCGAGGCAGATTCCGATTAATCACTTGGCACACAGCAACAACGCAAACTTTATACTGATCGCGCAGAACGTGCACAAGATCATCGAGTTTCGACCCCACTACTTCAGGGGTGTGACCCGACAAATCGTTAGTGCCCATTTTGAGAATCACGATATCGGGCTTATACTTTTTGACCCATGAGAGATCATATTTAAGCACTTTATCTACGGTTCTGCCACCCGTACCCAACAAAGAAACATTGCCCGATTCGGGTAGATGAAAATTTGGGGCAGCGTGTAAATCAAAGTGCGCTTCCAAGTCGTCCCGTAAACGACGGACAAAGGAATGCCCGAGAAGTAAAATAGTTGGAACACACCCAGACATTACAACTTTCAGATATAAAATGAAAGAAAATTTACCTGATGGAAAAACTTGACTTTAAAATACAGACGACTTTGCGCTACCAAAGCGAAGAACAGAATGGACCAGATGTGCATTCTGCTATAGATATGTATCACCTCTCCCTTCCGTTTTCCTGCACGCATTACATTCATGTGATCAGAAAATTACGGGGAAAATACCCATGTGTCCCATGTCAAGTTTGTCTATTTATATATCCTAAGCTCAGGAAGCAATAAAATCTTCATTGGTATGCCAATAATTCCTATATATAAATCTAGGCAAATAGTCATTATTTCCCTGTCTAAAGTGGCTTATCCTTTGCCATTGCAAATAGGGGTGAGGGCCGGGTTGGCAACAGGGGGAAGTCTTTCCGCAAACCATGCAATTTATTTCTCTTGTTCCGTCAACTGCCCGTCATTTTGTTGTATAACCGTGACCGCCTTGTTTTCCACACAAAGCAATAAAGACCATCCATTTTCTATACGAAGCATAATTCAAGCATTCAAAAATGCCATGAAGGATGGATAGCTTATGAGCCCTTATGAAAGGGCACTGAATTATATTTCTAACCGTAATCCGTGATTAAACTTGCCTAAAAACTGTGTGATAAAGTTGTGAAATTCCGCCACCGGTAGATAGTATCCTCACCGTAAACCGCTACAAAAATCGATACTTTTCCGTAATCCGACTCACAAAATAGGCTGAAACCGCTTAACTGCCAGACTATAATAGGCTCCCAATTATAGTTCCCACAAGAGAATGTCAACAAGTTGATGTTACCCCCCCCCCCCACCCCACCAAACTCATAACGTTATTGCAATGTTATATGTTGGCAGCATGGCAATATGAATATAGACATGGCCCCTTAAAATTACCATTTTATTAAATATGCAACAAATTTTGTTAGTTTATATGTAGGTGTATAGCCACAATTCCACAAATACTGTATATATAATTAATTATTCAAAGTTTATATAAATGGACAAAAAATTCGCAAGTGTGCACTTTCCCTAATCTGCAATCTGACCCTGGCCGCCTTGCAGAATTTGGTTGTGTGTTCATCTTTTTTGTACCTTTTTACCCTTTTGGGACTTTGCAGTTTGGTCTCCTGACAAATCCAAACTCCCAGATGCAGCAGCAGCAGTCTATATGAGAATATAAATGTAATATATGATTTAATATATTGACTATCAGCATTTTAATAATACACATTTAAAATATTATCATGATCAATTGCAAAAAATGCATTTTAACTTTATGAATAAATACACAAATTACGAAACACGTACCATATTTACATAATTTACATCCGCCATTTTCCTTCTAAATTCTCAGTCCCATTCCCCTCTTTGCGCGATACAGCAACACACATGCGCACATCATGGTTGTTTTGCATGGTTCAAGACCAGAATTAAGCTACTTTTATACCTCATGTAATAATGGCATTGCAGTATCAAAAGAATGTCAGTACGTCCTTGTGTTTTGAGAACATTGGTAAACTGTATGGCTGTTCAAAGTTTCAAATTTTGCCATTTGTTGTGCTCCTGCCCAATTTCTGGTTCTGAAAGGCCCGATTCTCAGCCAAAGAGTGCACACCAAGAAGGCTGGTCATTTCATTGTTTAACTGCCCCACACTCAAGTAATCACAAAGACTCACTGATATTGCTTTGCAACATCTGTATTAAGTAAAAAATTATGCAATCTGAACAACATTTTTCACAAAGGCAAAGGGCACTTTGCCACCGGAAAAAGGGCACTTTTTGCATCTTCTGAAACAAGGCCCCCCGGTTCCTATGCCCCTGGTTGACAGCCAATTTCAGATGTGAATAGTATACTTATTCACTACGTCAGTGTGCTCTGATTCTAGCCGTTGTTGTCTCTCAAACCACGATAACTCAAAGTTGAGCCTACCAATGTCTTGTATATTTGAAGTGAAACAAAATTTTGTGTAATAGTGATTTACTGTATATATTAGTATAAATTTTTACAAATTATTGAACTAAGGTAATATATTGTTCTAGTCTTATTGATCACCTATTCATTTATAATCTGTTTTAATAATTATTTTATAACATATGTACAAATTATTGCATATTACTCTTTTGAAGCAGTGCTGTCATTAAGTTTACAAGTAGGTGGCCGAAAAATGATTGAACATTGAAGGCACAAGACTCCTAGAGGGGTCTGGGTGCATGCCCCTAACCCAAAATCTAAACAATCGGAAATGCCATTCCCTGCATTTTGGAAGGTATTTTACAGAGTTCTTAAGATTACAAAACATCCTATCAAAGCCTGACCTGTTTGAAATCATTTAATCTTTTGTTTTAATTTTGATGTTCTGACTAGAGGAAGTAAAAGGTTTGCTTATTGCTTCACAGTTTTGTTTATATGAACTTTTTGTTCAGACAAAAGTAGGCAAGTCACAGGCCCTTAATGACAGCTCTGGGTACAAAAACCCCCACAAAAGTTCTCACTAGATTACTTCTTCTGTTTTATGTTACAGCAAGGCCTTTTCTAATCCACCATACAATTTACTCCTCTGACCAGTGTGATGACCAGCAACGTTACCTGGCTCCAATTGTCGATGTAGAGAGGTATGCTTTTCCGGGGTAATTAAAGGTAGGAATAGCACCAGCTACAAGTCTTTTGCTGGTGGGAACTAAAGCAGAACATAAAATACCTGATTATATATACTGTAAGTTGACTTAATTTATACAAGTATTGTTAAGATAGCAATTATAATGACTAAAATTCACAGCAAACAAGATTTACAATCACTGTAAATGGGGCTTTCATATACTATGACATGCCCAAACAAAAATCCTGTTACTTTATTATACCACTTTCTTGCTTTTAAAATAGCCTTTTAATATTGTATAATACTTTGTTTACTGTATACAAAAACGTTTCTACTGTCCTCAGTGACAGTGTCCTGAATTTATGTATACCTTCATTTTATGAACAAAAGGATTAACTGTTATATAAATATGACCTAATGACCGAAACACACTTTTATGCAAATCATTAACATTTATATTTTTCCTGCTCCATATGGTTAATGCAAATTTGATCATTTGATACATGAAATATATACAGTACTTCTGCTAAGTTGTAACTTTCAAGTGTTCATACCGAAATATCAATACCTCTACCAGAGAAAGAAAATAACTTGCATGTTTCGGCTGGGTCTTTTCAAAGTGTCTTTCACAATCGTGAAGTGTTTGTTGAGCGATTTGATTTCTTAAACTTGCATCTATCTCTCGATCCAGCGTCCTTTGTGACAAGCCTCGCCAACGCTTCGTGAATTTTCGTCGATAAATCGTCGTCTTCTGTTGGAATTCAAAAAATACTGACACCAAAGTGTTTTCTACTAGTCCCGCAACCATATATGGAGCAATTTGCACCTGGTATTTGCATATTCTTTCTGTAAAAGACGTTTTGCAAGTACTACAGCCTCCTCTGTAATACAATCTCCTATTACTAAATAGATTTTGATGCACCCGTATTGTCACATGACAGAGAACAATAACATAATTTGGCCATGCCCCCAGCTTCCAAACCCTGTCCTCAATTAACTATGGTTCAGCCCAGCTACCTGTTTTGCTTTTCTCTTCTCTCTTCATATTTCTTGCACTTTTTGCGGTCATTC